AAAAAGCATAAATGTTACATTTGATCTTAGCCGAAAGCATACATTTTAAAATTAATTTTATGTGTACATGGGGATATTTAAACGAGAGTGAAGTCCAAATAAATGTCCAAACAATGATGTTTTTGCTGGGTGTGGTGGCGCACATCTGTAATCCCAGCAGACCCTGTCTCAAAAAAAAAAAGAAAAAAATAAAACAAAGGATGGTGCTTTTAAACTTCCAAAACAAAGAATAATCCATTTGGTTTTTGCGGGAGGGGGCTGCTGGGGCTGAAACCCAGGGCTTTGCTCTGCTGTGCCACTGAGCTCCATGCCTGGCCCTAGAGCGAAGCCTCTGTGAAGGAAAGACAGGCAAGGGTATCTGGACTAGGGTTAGGAGTCCAGGGGTGTTGCTAAAAGACAAGTGGAAAATGAGGTCCTTCGTCTGTTTGTTCAAGTTCTGTGGCACCCTGATCACAGGGCCCAGGTATGTGAGGGATATCCCTCTAGGATCAAGTGGAAAGCTGGGTGTGGCGGTGCACGTCTGTAATCCCAGCACTCGGGAGGCTGAGGCAGGAGGATCAAGACCAGCCGGGGCTACACAGTGAGTTCCAGAGCAGTCTGAACTACATAGTGAGACCCTATCTCAAAAAACCAAAAAAAAATAAAAAAATAAAAAAGAACGTGGAAGACACAGGTCAAGACATCTTTTCTGAAGCTAAGGTACTTCCTGGGATTCCAACCTAAAACAACCGTCACACCAATTTGGGACATTTTGCCATGACTCCTTCATATTCCTCACCCAAATAAGAAGCCACCACTGCTCTAGCGTCCCCTTGGTCTGGCAGCCTTTTTGTTCACCCCCAAGCTGCCTAATCTAATCTGGCAGGAGAGGTCTGGGCTCTCACCTATGCTGGCTCCAGGGAGGAGCCCTAACCCTGAGAGGAGCTGAGCCCAAGGTCCCGAGCCTCTTCCCAGCTGGAGCTGTGCAGCCCAGGCACTGTGCTCCCGCTAACCCAGAGCCTCCAGCTCCACACGTGTGCACCCCTCATGGGCTTCCTGTCCACCAGGTCCCCTTCCTGCCCGCTCCCAGGCAGCCCCAGGGCCCACCTCCATGCCCTCCCTCACCTCTGTGTGCCGGACGGTCTCCTCCAGCTCACAGATCTGGGTCTGTACAGTGTCCTGGTTTCCCAGGATGTATGTCAAGCTCTTTGTCAGCTTGTCCTGATGGGAAGAGAGCAGTGGAGATCATGCTTGGCTCTACGGATGCCAAGAGTTCGGAGGAGTGTGAGGTGAGTGTGAGCTGGGGCTGGGGCTGAGCGAGAGGGTCCTCACCTTGAGTGCCTGGTACGCACTGAGCACTGGTGTGATCTTGTGCCCGCTGTGGGTGCGCCGCACCCGGCAGAGTTGGCATACCAGCCGTTGACACGTCTTGCAGTAATGAGTCACCTCTTCCTTGTGGTCTGGGCACATCAGGCCCTAGGGACACAAAGGACAGTGAGATAGCCAGCCAGGGAGCTGACCTACCGCAGGAGCAGTTTGATGTCCTCCCTCCAAGGGTCAGTGTCCAGTGCCAGAGCAGCAGGCGAGGCTCCACAGTGCCACCCAGTGGCACACACTGGCATCAAATCCCTCCCTATGGCCTCCAAGGCAATGCCACTTTCTCTAGCAGGGCTCCTCCTGCATCTACCTGGTCAGATGTGTGAGAATAACAATAATAATGAAGCCGGGTGTGGTGGCACATGCCTGTAATCCCAGCACTTTGGGAGGCTGAGGCAGGAGGATCGCTGTGAGTTCAAGACCAGCCTGGGCTACATAGTGAGTTCCAGGTCAGTCTCAACTACATAGTGAGACCCTGTCTCAAAAAACCGAAAACAAAACAAAACAATAATGATGATAATTAATCTAAGCTTCTGGTTCCTCATTCACCTTGTCTGTCTTGTTCTCTGTGGGCGCCCACCACCTAAAATAGCACTGTGCTCCTAGCTGCTCAGTCACTGTTCAGAGAGTAAGGTATGCGGACCTCGACCTCGGTAGTGCACAGATAAGGCTCTTCAGTGAACAAATGTCTTTCCTGATCCCATCAAGGTCCTGCAGTATGCAGATACTATTGTCTCCCTGAGCAGATGACAGGGAGGCTCAGAGAGCTCAGTGATTTCCCCGTGAGTTTGTTGCAGAGAACAGAGCCTGGCAGTGGCAACCTCCTGCTCACCTCCTTTGGGAAGCCCACAGGGCAGGTACCCCACACACCCAGCACCGTCATATCCCTCCCTCCCCAGGCCCTGCCAGAGCTGGCTCACCTTGGGGCGGAAGGAGAGGGTGGGCAGGGTGGGCTCATGCTGGGCCTTCTGGGTGCCCCAGGGGTGGAAGAGCTTGAAGCACTCATTGCAGAAGGTGGCACGGCACTCAGTGCAGCCCTTGGTGGCCTCTAGTGGCGGGGGCTTGCACAACTGGCACAGGATGGCGCCTCCCACGCTCACACTCTGGCGGTACCGCTCCACCACGCGCTCTAGGGTCAGGTTCCGGAAAAGCCCCGCCAGGCCCCTCTCCCCCAGCTCCACGTCACCCTGGCAGGCTGGGCAGGGGAACATGATCACCTGGGGGTGCAACGCACCTCGCTTCCGCCCAGGGTACGTCCCAAAGCCTGTGGATGGATCCGGGAGGTAGAGGAAATGGGTTATAGCTGGCTGGGGGTGGTGAAGTCTGTTCAACCGAAAAATTAGGTTTTTACTGGGCCAGAGCTCAGCCCTCATCACAGCCCAGATAAGCATTACCGCTTTTCCCAGAAAGACACACAGAGGTCCTGACCAGTGACAGGCCTTCTGGGCTCTGTGATGGGCAGCCCTGCATCCCCACCCAGCCACCAGCCCCAGCCCCACCTGACTTAAGCAGCCGGTCCAGGCGATCTGGCCTGGCGAGAGTTCTGCAGGCGATCTGGCTTGGCGAGAGTTCTGCGGGAGAGGCGGGGGCTGCGGGTGGAGGGGGTGGAGGCGGGAGAGGTGGGCTCGGAGCTGGGGTCCCCACCATGGCCTATGTAGCCCTGTTGGCCCAGCACTTCCCGGGCGCAGGCCTGGCACACATTGTGGGTACAGGGCAGCACCAATGGCTGCTTGTACATCTCTTGACACACTGGGCACAGCAGTTCCTTCTCCATGTTTTTCATGCTCGTCTGTGGAAGGACCAGGTGGCTGGATCAGAGCCTGGACACCTGGGCAATCTCAGCAGGCCCCTCGGCTGCCTAAGACCCAGGTGTCTCAGGAAGGGGCCAGCCAAGCTGCCGTGCCTTTTGCCAGATACTGGCTTGCCCTGGGTCACACACATTCCGCTCCAGGACCAAGGCCCAGCCGAGGAAGCCCCTCCTCCAAGCTCAGGCGCGGCAGCCCCTCACCTGTTACCCTGCCCCCTCCCCCCGGCCAACGCCCCAGTTCGGATCTCACCCTGCACTGGGAGCTCTGCAGGCTCCCTGCAAACCCGCCTCTCTCTGAGGCCCAGCGCCGCTGCTGGCTCTCCTGCCTCCGGCTCGCGGCTCAGGCCTGCGACAGCCCCAGCCTCCATCCTCCACTTGCCCATCCATCTCCTTCACTGCCCGGCTCCAGACCATTTCCTTTTGCCCCCTACCCTCCGGCCCTCCTGCCCCTTCAGCCAGCGCAACCCCTTCCCCAAGCTGGGGGGGGCAAGCGCCCCGCCTTCTAGTCCCCTCCCCACCGGAAGTAACCCTCCCCCTTTGGGTGGCCGGGGTCCTGAGGCTACGCCCCACCCCCACACCTCACCTTGGTCCCTCTCTTCGAAGCCATCCCGGTCAGGGGCGCAGCTGACACAAAGGAGGGAGGGACAGGGAGAGAGGGAGAAGGAAGCGGCGGGGGGGAGCAGGGTTGGCACCGCCCCTGGGAGAGCCGGGCCCGGGTTGCTATGACAACCGCTGGCTGGGAAGCAGCCCTGAGTGGGGGCGCTGGAGGTGGGGTCTTGGGGAGGGGTGCAAATTGGGAACTGCACCTGGGGAGGCTCCCCTATCGCCCCCCCCCGACCTGTTTCTCGGGACAGACCCACACTCACACGTGCCCTCCCCAGCAGAGCTCCCAGCTCACCGCTCGAAGCTTACACCGGGCCAGCGGGCTCGCTCCCTGCTGGCCTGGGGTCCCCTCTCGTCCCTGCACCCTGACCCTCCGGTTGCCTCTGCCATCACTTGCTACCACTAGTTTATGCCCAGCACTTTCCTCAGTCCTACCTGTCCGAGGTCCTGGGTCTGCCCGGACCCCCGCCCGTCCCCTCCCCGGACCCCACCTCAACTCACGCTGATGCGGACCAGGGCGTCCATGATG